CCTCAGTTTTTCCTCTGAGGGTCCACCATCTTCAGAAAGAAGTGCAAAACAACTACGACATGCAAATAATGCCAACCGTACATAACTGCAGCAATGCAATTTTTCTTTTTAAATTTTTTTTTTTTTGCGGGGGGGATTACCATAGTTAATGATAATGGTACTTTAATTTGTCAAAATTTCCTTTCACCTTCCTATTTGAGGGCTGTGGTCAGGGTGCTGCAGAGAATACTGTAATGGGGTCCTTCCTGTAGCTGCCCTCAAGTCAGCAGAGCATCTGTTTGTGGTCTGTTCTGTTCCCAGGCCTCCTGCCACCTTTGTTGGCGAGTGTCTTAGCGAAGTCCAAGCCCCCACTAGGTTTAATTTCACATAGAGCGAGCTTTGTCATTTCAGAGTGGCCCTTGTAGCAAGGCCATCAAGTTGATGTCGTTAACTGCCTGGTGAGGGTCGGGGGAGTCACACTGATAGATGCAAACGTAACTTCTTTTTTTTTTAAGTTCCAAGGAAAATGATTTAAACAAAAGGATGTTCTCTGTAACCCGCAAATGTACTTGATGTTTCATTTAGTTATGCTTACAGGGAGTAACGAGCCAGGATAGGCACACACCATACTGAGTGAACCCTGACTTAGGGCGTTTATTTTAGAAAAGAAAAAAAGGAAAGGAATCCAAAAACGTAAAGATACAGTTTTGTTTTTTTTTGTTTTGTTTTGTTTTTTTTTCCATGCCGAATGTAAATATGTTGATTGTGATAAAAGTGCTTGAGTGTATCCATGCTTCCACAGTAGAACGCCGTCTACCTCAGCTGAGGGGGCGGGGGGTTGTTGTGGCACTAGGCACCCAGCCCTGCCCCCACTGAGCGCCAGCGCGCACTGATACCTCAGTCCCCCGAACACTTTCTATTTGGGCGCGCCTTCCTAACACCGTGCTTAACTGAGGGGCACAAGTGATACTTTAAAAAAAAAAAGTCCCTAACATCTCCAATCTCCCTGCCAACCCACCCTTCCCACAACTTCCCCCTTCCTCCAGTTTATTTTTGATCTACCTCTTTAGAAATGTATTTGAAGTAGAGGCATTCTTCTATTTGTTAGAATTTAACCCTTCTCCACACCTTTACGCTCCCCTCCCCCAGATAAGATTTAAAAACTAAGATCATGAACTCTTTAGACTTGAGAAGAATCAAGTGATCAATTTTTTTTCCAGTGTTTATAAATATATACATGTCTTGACTTTAATTGAAATCCTCGAAACAATAGTTATTTCCTTCTGCTCTCTATTTTCGGTGGTGTGGCTTCCATGTGAACTTATGCTTGAATTTTTCTTTTTGCATTCAGTAGCTAAAACAAGACAATACAGTTTTGTTTTTTGTTTTTTTTGATAAAGGGCCTGCCTATTGTTTCTGATTTGTAAGACTTCAAAATAGATAAAAGTTCTGTATTTTTTTTTTCCTCTTTTCTTTTCTTCCCCTTTTGTCTTTCTCAGATGTTACACTCGCTGATTCGGTAGCTGTTTTGTTCTGTTAGCATTTCTTGGCTGTGTAACGTGGAACATCCTCCTTGGTATGGGACAGATGAGGGACCGGGCCTGAGTTTTTGTAAAAGTGATCAAACTTCAGCTTGATATTCTCTCCTCTGCAACAATGCTTGTGCCCCTTCACCTCCCCCTCACACACAGCTCCACTTGTCAAATGCCTCTAAATAAAGAAAAACAAAATGGAGAAAAACATTTGACACAAATGCATTTTCTTCTAAGATGACTGGGATGCTTTAACTTTTACAGTTAAGTATGATATTACAAAGTGTTTGGGAACCCCAACTAGAAAAAGTCCTGCGGTGCCTCTGCTGACTTTGTAGCTGGAGTTTTTCAGACCTCATGGTCTGGGTTTCCATGACGGAGCAGATCCTGAGGGTGTTAGGTCCTTGGTTAAACTGGATATGTGACAAATAGCCTTAATAATCGGGTTGACTGACCCTGTCAAACATGGTCTTTATTTATCACAATAGGTTAAAGAGAAAAATGGACTCATCTGCTGTATTTTCTATGAATAACACTAAAAGAAGCTGTGGGAAGTTGCTTGTAAGAAAAGGAAAATCAAACATTATCATGAGGTTTCAGCAAAGACCCACCAATCTTGTTTTTGATCAACTTGATTAGGTGATCATCAAAATGTGAGCACCTCTATAAAAGCAGCTGTCTTGGCAGTGTGCTATTCAGGTGTGTGATAACACAATGCCACAATTTTCTCAGGAGTGAGGTCCCAGCAAATACACCAAGGTCAGAGCATGTAATGCCCAGAGGCCTCCAGAATTAGAGCCATGTCTTATACTCTCGAGGCCTCAGCAAAATTGGAGACACGCTGATCAACTATGATTTGTTTGGAAGGGTTCCCAGGAGAGTCTCTAAGAGCATTACCCCATGGCTTAGGCTTGTGAAGTTGCGTCTGAAACAATGTTTAGACATAATACGCAGTGCTACATTTAGCAGAAACCAAACGGCGTATCCACACAGGCTAGGTCTGTGGTGGAGGGGTAACAATTTGGGCTAATTGTGCAGCCGCAGGACCTGGGCACCCTGCAGTGAAGTATTGGCCATGAATTTCTCTGTATACCAAAGTATCCTCAAGTGAAATGTGAGTTAAGTCATGCAACAGGACAATGATGCCATAGATGGCACAAAATCTAGAACTGACTGGTTAAAGAGAACATGTTGCAATGGCCCGGTCAGCACCTGAATCACAGGGTGTACTTTTCACAGGGATGCAGAGAGTCCTGTGAAAACATTTTCCACATGATTGAAGTCGTGTATGAACTCGATACAAGTTCCACATGTATTGAGTTGACAATGCCCCAAATTCCAAAGCAACATATGTTAGGTAGTGCTGCATTAGCAAAATATTTAAAGTCACCTGGTAAACTTTGCTAAAGGAGTGAAAAATGTTTAATAGTATTAAAAACTTTAAGTTTAACAATTTGCCTCTGTACCGTTTAGTGTACTGTACAGTAAAAGCATTGTGTGTTGTGTGAACTACCTGCTTTAAAATCGGCGTCGTGTGATTTGATTTGCAGTGTTTGTTTTGATCACAATAATATACAGGATTGTGTTGGGTTACATGAAAGTGGTGACTTCATTGCTTGTTTTAAAAGCCCCAAACTATAGTGCTAATGGTTAAAATCTAGTTTTTCAAATTTTCTGCAGTTAATGTGATGGTGTGAAACAGTCTTGATCTAAAACACACACACACACACACACCAGAACAAATTAATAGGACACTAAAATAACTTTAGTTACTGACAAAGATTTGCTGAGAACAAAATCATCACTCTGATTCAAAATCACACCAAAAATCAGTTCGTCTAACGTTAAATTCAATTTTTTTCCCCAGCTCCATACAAAGACAGATTCCAGTGTCTTCAAAACATAAGTGGTTAGTTCACAGCCTTTATTTAGTGACAGACTTATTTATCAGCCTTTCATCCTCCTTGATTATGGCTGTTTAAATCTTGGAGTTAAAGATAGTAAATTTTTAACTCATTTGAGGAAAAGCATGCATGTATCACTACTAGTAGGATTTTTACCCGTACATTAATATACAGTATTCTAAAGCAATCGATGACAAACGGTACAAAAGCATTTTTCATCAAAAACAGCCATTGCTTGAGCCTAATTCATTTTATAGCGGCTACTACACCCTATGTTGCAATCAAAATGAGTGCCTCAATCACATATTCGACAGCCTCTTCAGTAGAAAATGATCACACCAATCAGTTGCTGTAGCAGTAGCCGTTTTCTGGAGCACCATCAAACAATTAAAACAAGCAAAATATTAGTTTCTTTTACAAATATGATATTCCTGCTATTTTTGCACTTTAATGATTAGACTTTTGATTAGATTCATATCTGACAATCACATGCTTTAGGTGTTTTTTATTTTAAGTGATGATGCAGCTCAACAAAGCCTACAGGGGGTTTCTCTCAGTCAGCAGGTGACGGCTCTCCTCACTGGAGGGGAAGAGTGCCTCCTTCAGGCGAATCATGTGACCTCCAACCCCAGCATGGGGATCCTCCACCAGTGACCTGCGAATGGGCCGGTACACCTTGTAACGCCTGGAAGAAAGATGCAGGACACAAAAATATGATGGGAGGGTAATGACTCTCTAACTGGATGTGAGCGGCAAGAGTTGGGAAAAGAATACGAGGTGTTTTACGAGCAGGGTAGTAATCAACTTAATCAACTGAAAGTTCAGTGAGAATCAAAGTGGCTTTGTGTGCATGTGTAAATGCTTTTTAATGTGGCAGTAAAAGCCCAAGTTGTGCATTAAAATCTTTCTGCATCATATATTTGGGTCTTCACACATGTACTGAAGGAATGCTGCTGCATCTGAAGACTACTCACTTGTAGACCACATAGGCAATGAATGCAAAAATGGCCCCCAGAACAGCGCTCGAGGAGAGAACGACTTGGGCAGTGTGAGAGGTTGTGGACACTGATGGGTACAAAGGGCAGTGAAGAGAGTGTAAAACAGACCGGAAACTACAACACACCAGACAGCAGTTTCTACAAAGCTGATTTCAAGAAATATCCTGTTGTATGTGTTTGTGTAGCTAACCAGGTGTGTCCTGGGACTTGTTGATGGTGATGGTGGTGCTGGTGAGGGTCAAGCTGCTGGAGTTCTCCAAAGTGATGTTCACACAGTAGGTGCCCGGTTCCAGAAATCTTCGCGTCAGATGCACTTTGCACTCCGAGAGCGGCGGCACATCGTTGCACATGATGTTGCGTACCTGAGTGCAGCTGGGGTCTGACACGATGGTACAGGCTGAAGTGGGGACGCTGCGGATAAGGGATGAAGGATAAATCAAATAAACCTGTTTCTTTATCTAAAATGTATAGGTTTGTGTGTGTGTGTGGGGTGGGGGTGCCATTGCACCTAAGTGACTAAATTTGATGTGCAGGGAGAAGATCATCAAAAATAAAGTTGATAAACTCCAAAGGTTACTGTGATTTCCTCTTTGAATGTTTAAAAAAATATCTACAGTATTTTTTTTTTTTTAACATAAATGTAAACAAAGTATATAATAAATGCATACCTGCCCAGACATTTCACCAGGAAGTTGATGTCAGTGTTGGTGACTCTGTGGGCTGACACTTCCAAAATCCGACTGCTTGGCAGGGTGTTCAGTGGGTGCTTGGGCTCTGTGGGGAACAGATTAAATTTGTGGGTTTTGGATGTGTAATCCTCTTCCCCCTAAATAATAATATGATGAAGGAACCAGTCAAAGAATCATAGCACGGGGTTGCTTGAATACAAGTTTGTAGAGAGAAACTGGATCGCAACAATCAGGATTTAATGCAGTTTAAATGGAAGAGTGTTTCCTTTTCATTATCAGGGGTGGCTACTCCACACGAGTCCCATCCCATAGTTCGTGATGAAAGTGAAGCAATTCTGGGATAAAATGTGGGCTGGTTTTCTGTATGTTATTATGATAAATGTGACAAAATGGTTTTTGTTGGAAAGCTTTCATTAGCATTAAAGCCATTAAAGTATCATGAAAAATGTGCAAAGGTTTGCCCTTGCGTTTAGTGTATTAAACTGCTACACCATGGCTTCTGTACAAAGGTTCATGAAAAAGAATCAGTGGTTCACAACATAACTTGAAGGATCCCGCATACTCCCACCTACCAACGACAGTGATATTGCCTGTGAAGGTCCCGTAGGCGTAGCGGAAACACTGGTTGCTGTTGAGACGCCTGGTGTGGAGCCACAGCGGGGTGGTGGGGTTGGATTCTGGGGCAACAGTGGAAGGGAGGGGCTCTGTGGTGGGGAGACCCGTGGAAACAAAAGAGGAGGTGGTCGAGGGCAGGCCGGTGCTGGGCGGCACTGTAATATGAAGCAAATGGACTCTGCATAGTGATGCACGCTGGTTTTTTTAACTTCCTCACTTGATATGATTCAGCCTCTGCATTCGATATTCCAACATAATCACAATAATAATACACATTTAGCTGTAAAAGCCTCACCCTGTGTGGTCTCCATCTTGGCTGTAATTGCATGAGTAACAAGTGGAGTTGTAGGAGCCTCTGAGGAAAAGACACGGGAGACACATGTTTTTCCATTAGCACTGATTCCCCGTCTTTTTGTTGTTGTTGTTTTTAAACCGATACTTGTCTGTGTAGGTTCTCAGTGACGTCATGGTAGTCCTTCGAGCTTTAAAAAACGTTTTTAAAGTTACTTGAAGATGTGTAAATACCTGAGACTCTCCATCTTTGGTTTTAGATCACCTCTCACCTCTTGGAAGAGAGGTGAAACTTCTTCAAGAAACTTAAAGAAGTGCAGTCACCTTCTTTTTAAGCTCCTAAGAAACTGTAGGCACTTGCAGATAATGATTCTGTCTTTTAAAGTTTTACATGTATTTTTTGTTTTTACATTCTTTATAACGTAACTGTTTAAGTGGCAGTTGCTTCATATCCCCAGAGTGAAGAGAGATAACTTACTTTGTGTGGCTCACATTTCCCTTTTTAAAGTTTCTATTTTGGCATTCCAGTTATATTAATTAGACATGCAGATATGGTATAAGAATAGACTGTATATAAAATAAGCCATAGTCTCAAGGTCGAAAAAGTTAATCCAAAGCAGAGGTGCAGTTTTTCTAATGGCCAGCAGGGGGCAGCTCCTCTTGGTTGCAAGAAGATATCTAATTGTATAGACACCTTTGAGAAAATGACCCAATTTTCATTTTATTGATGACTTCAGTGAAAACATTCCTCATTCGTTTATGGTCTCAATTGCTTGTTTAACATCTTAATCAATATTATACATTTTCTCCTCTTTTTTCCCCAATTGCAGGGAAATTGATGACAAAGACTTGTCTGTTATGTAAGTGTGCAGTATCCTTGGGTTCTCAGTCAGAGCTACCCCTCTGATTTCAAAACACCAAGATGGTGACAGATGACAGTGTGCTGGCTATGTCCATCTGGTTATTAGGTTTGTATAAAAAGTTAACAAGTCTTCAGATAATACTTTGCTTGTTTTGTCATGTCTATATCTTTGTGACTACTTGTGACAGAACCTGTGGACGTGGTCGAGGTCGGGGTGTTGGCAGAAGGTGGACATTCAACTGGAAACGCTGCCTCGACCACCAGCTTCACAGTCATGGTCCCCAGTTTACTGTAGGCGTGCGTGGTTACGTTGCGATGCGTTACCAGCTGATTGCCGTCTCGAAAATCCCAGATGTAGTCAATGGAGGCAGCAGTTTTCAGGTAGCCGCTGGGGTCATGGAGGTGGACTTTGAAAACCACATCCTCACCACGGATGAAGATATTCTCAGATTGGTTGACTGCACCCTTCTGAGAGATGTCGACCGCCACTGGAATTTTATCTAAGGGAGTGTGTGAAATTAATGTAAATGACGTATTAGGTTTCAGCCTGTTTGTATCTCTGTTTGGCTGAAACATCTAGACAGATAAAACTGTATAAGCAGAATATTTTTTTTTCCCACCTGTGACAAAGAAGACGGCGTTGTCGGTAGAGAGGGGGCTGTACTTCCTGCGCTCGCGTTTCCTGTAGACCATGACTTCCATGACCTCTGCCCCCAGAGGGATGTTGGTGGTATTGATGGTCACACTTGAGGAAGAGCCGTCACACGTCTCAAAGTACTGGCCTGGGACAAAAAGAAGAGACAAACTGAGTTGGTTTAGATGTTCCTCTTTTTCCGTTTGTATCCTGTGTACATGCAAACTTGTAAACTTGTATCTCACCCATTGTGTGCCAAACATAGACGTAGCTCTTTCGTCTCCAGTCATTGCTCTGAGGGAAGGGTCTCCCATCTGGGAACACGTTGCATTTTGCCTTGTCTATACATTTTCCGAAGCCATAGTCATCCAACCAGGAAGTCCAGTTGTACACGTAGCCAGAGCGAACCTGCCCATTGGCTGTTCGACAGAAAATAAAGTGATGTAAAAGCTTTAACTTTTAAAAAATAAAAATGAACTGATTTTGCATGATAAATCTGTTCAGTGACTACACATGAAACGGCTGGTAGCTACAAATGCTAAGATAACTATACTATGATAAATAAAGACAATGAGTAGCCAGGTTCATTGAGGTGTAATTTGTCTATTTTAGTGTTTATCAGCAGCTTGTTCTGGTTTTTATCTTAAGGGGGAGCCTGCTTTAACTCTTTCCCTCATAATGATGTGTTTTGACATCTCAATTTGTATCAATAAGCATGTGGTTTGATGACCATCAGATTATGTTCCAGATTTTTTCAAGACTAGTCCTAGTAAGCTGTATAGGCAGAGCCCTCTCTCACTTCTGAAGCACAACCTAAAATATGACGGAAACGACACAGCTCACAAAAGAGCTTCAAGGGTTACTCCTAGTGGGTGACTAAGGGGAAAAGAGTTAAGCATGCTAGTGTATCATCTTTATTGCCATCTTTTTACAACAGTGTACAATTTAATTTGCTCTTTGGTGGGCTTACATAAATCAACCACAACATTTAAACCACCTGCCAGCTGTGCTGGTCTCTCTCATGTGGATAAAACTGCTCTGACCCATCAAGTACAGGCCATTTGATTGACTCCTCGTGATCAGTGTTTTCACTTCACCTGTCAGTGGTTATAATGTTGTGGCTGATCAGTGTATATGGCCCCATGATACTTTGTGGTGGTGTGATGCTATGTGTGTGCAGGTTCATGGCCTGGTCTGGCCTGGCTTTCTTGGCAGCACCTGACGCCTCCAGCTCCGTACCATCCTCACAGTGCTCATCCCAGATCAAGTTCCCATTGGCATCCTCCTTCTGGCAGGGAGGATACTCCAGCTTTGCAGTGAAGGTGATGGAAGAGCCATTCAGAGCTGGACTGTCACTGGTCAAACGGACTTTGGGTTTACCTGCAGAGAGGTGGACTTTCCAGATGAATGACCTGAAATACCTAAGCAAATGTTTCAAAGGTGAAAAAAAAACCAACCCAGAAAACAAATTACCCACCTCTGTGGTGCATAAAATCATTTAACTTTATGTTTAGTGGTGGGTAGATGTAATCATCCCATGGTTTGGTGTCGGGAAGCCAGCCAGGGATCGGTGGGATTGGAAATGGAAACTTCCCTGATAATGAGTGCTTGTGTGGGAATACATCCCTGTATGCTGGGGAGAGATAAAGCAGAGAGACAAGGACAGGGAACCTTAAAATGTATTTTGGTTTGATGTGAGTCCCTCACTAAAGAGCTTCTGTCATTTACTTGAATCCATTTAGAGGTTAAATGTTTCTTTCCTTACTTGTGAAAAGAGAAACCTACTTGGATTTCATTAGGCTCCTTTAAAATGTAATTAAATGTTAAGTAACAGTGTAGCCCCAAAATACCTGCATAATGACCAAAATCATGTTTATTTCCTGACATGGAAAAATCTGCTTCCAGTACCTGGTTTCCACCTTTAGTAAAAATATTTTACTAAAAGCTCCCATGACTGAAATGATGAAATGATTGAGGGCTGTACAACAGACAACATTTAACTCTGGAGATTAAAAGCCCAATAAAACAGGAGGAAAGCGTTTGGAATGTTAGGCATAAATAAATAAAATGTTTATTGTTATACAAAAAAGATATTTAAAAAAAATATCTGTCTCTAGATTTATACATTTTTAGTAAGATGACCTAGTTTTTGATCTTTCATCTCCACATTCTTACTTAGTTTTTTTATTTTATTTGGATCTCCACGCCCTTGTCTTCTGCTTTCTCGTTATTTAGCCTGAGTGACATATTTTTCAGCGCAAAAACAAATTCAATCTGTGTAATCTGGTTAAAGGCGAAGAAAAAAACGATCCAAACATCTGGAACGTCTGTACTCAAACAGAAAATTATTCAGCCAAGAGAGCATGGCGTGGAAAAAAGAGGGGGGGGAAAGGTGATTTTAAATGTGCATTTATTAAATTAATGTCACATTTGCTTTTTTATGATACCGGTGGAAAAAGATTGTTAAAACTGCAGGAGGCTTCTTTTTACGGGATTCCATCTGGTTATGATAACAAATTAGAGAAAGCTACGATTTATCCGTTTTTTCTGGATGTAGAGAATTGTCTGTTTGTGGAGTGAGTAGTCTTAACGGAGCACACGCCTTAATCAGTCTCATGGGACTCTGACTGTAGAGAGCGGATGGCAGGACGAGTTAAATAAACAAATGAATACACAAACAACCCTAGGAGATAAACATAAAACACCAACATTATTTAATTCACGTAAATACATTAAATCTGAAACCAATGAACCCACGTTTTTAAACCACAGCCACAACTCTTTCACTTCAAACTATTCCAAAGTAGCGCCACTTACTTTTGCGTCCATCAGCTTGATAAAGAAAGCAGGCACAAGCCAGGAGGGAAACACACTGCCAGGCTTTCATTTTCACTCGTCCGTGGGGGGTAAAAACAGTCGTCTCTGCAGCTTTAAGCACCCACGAATAGTGTCTCTGCGCGCCGACACAGCGTGTCCCTCTTTCTCCTCGTCCGGATTTCCCAGTACTACCCCTCCGTTTGTCCCGCTGTCCACCAATTTAAAGTGGCTCCGCTGAGCGCACAAACATGTGATGTTTCCTAACGAGACGCATCTCATCACTCATTAGTCCCCCAAACTCAGGAAACTCATGAGAGACGAGATGCGCGCGGATTGCACCGTGCGCATGCTCATCCTCTTCTTTCTCTCGCATTTGACAAAAAGTTCAGTGACTTTTAATCTGCTCAATCTTTCATACTCTTGCGTTTTTAGAACAGTGTTATTCCCTTTCGTGTTAATCTGTTTATTTTATTTTTTTCCAGTTTATCATGTCTGTTTTTTATTGTTCAATGTAGTCGATTAATTGTTAATTAACACGGCAGGACATTGTCCACAATAAATATGTTTTAATTATATCGTTTTTTGTCCCTTCTTTGTTCTCAAATTTGAGAAGTTTTATTAACTTCGTTAGATAATTAAATTGTGATCAAATAACAATGTTTTTCTTAAATATATAAAAAGAGGGTTTTGTGTGTGATTTAGTCGGATCATGTAACTATATAATTACATTAGGAAGCCTGGATATCTTCTTATAATATTATATTTTCCTTAAGTTCTGCCACGGAAGTCCGATAACAGATAAAGTCCACGCGTGAGAGCTGTGCACACATGACTGGAATGTTTGACACGATGAATCTGAATCATGCTGAGACACCTCACTCCGCTCGTGGAGGTTGCGCCACAGATGAACCCTAAAAAAGCAGAAGGGAAGCCTAATGCTCCTTCTGCGTCGTGTTCGCTTTCGACACCATCCACCATGTGATGAAAGTCACTGTTCACGGCAGGTCTGCTGCTGCAGCTGCTGTCACAAGAGAGTTTGGAAAAGGGTTACAAAGGGATCCTCGCGTGCAAACAGATTTCTTAAAACTGGGTTCAAAAGTCAGCAGAGTCTGAACGAACAAATAGCTCACGCGGAATATTTCCAGCAATGGTATTAATTGACATAATACTGAAAATAAAGCAATTATTCGTCTCTATTTAAATAAATAAAAGCAGAAACAAAAGAGAATGAGCTTGAATAAATTGTGTGTCCTTGCTGGGTCGTGCGATTTCAAGCATAGAAAAGCAAAGCAATGTCAGCAGACAAGGTTTCTAAATAATTACGTTTAAAAAAAAAACAAAAAAAAAACAAAAAAAAAACACAAGAAATAAACAAATAAATAGAAACAAAAAAACTTAGATCTAAAAATAGCTCCAATCCGGGATGTTGATTCTGATAAATTCCCCTCGGCCGGCAGGCGTGGTCGCCTGCAATTTTGCGAATTTTAATCGGTTCAGTTGTTGGGAGAGCTCCAATAGTGACCTCCTTTAAAGCTCTGAGACCTGCTTTTCATGTTTTAGATATCGAGCTTCAGAATCTGTTGGCATTCCAGTGAAATCTGTTTTAATTCATTAAAACCTTTGTGGTGTTCTCGGGATTCCCATATGCTTGTTTGCCATTCACCTAGGGACCATTATTGGTCCGAGGACACCACAATTTGAATAAATAAAAAA